GTGGTGGTGGTTGGTGGTGTGTGTGTGTGTGTGTGTTTGCGTGTGTGCGCGTGTGCTGTGGCATGGCACGGGAAATGACGCCAGCGCTGCAGCGGGAGCACGAGTCGAAACGGGCGGAAGCGCGGAAATGTGGCCAGCGCTGCAGCGGGAGCACGATTCGGAACGAGCGGAAGCACGGAAATGAGGCCAGCGCTGCAGCGGGAGCACGATTCGGAACGAGCGGGGCCCGAAAATGAGGCCGGCGCCTCGGCGAGAGCAGCATTTTGAAAAAACAAGCGAAAACCCGTTTCCCGGGAATCCTGTGTGTAAAAAACAATACGCGGGGGGGTGTCAGATAGCTTCGGGACGCCATCAGGGGAAGTGGGAGAGTATTTTCATATTGTGTAATTGTAGAGGGAGGGCGGGAGGGAGGGAGGGCGGGCGGGCGGGCGGGCGGGCGGGCGGGCTCTCGTGCGCGAGGACAACCGATGGCGTGCCTTTTCAGCGTTCTCGCTTACCGCGCGTTGTGCGCAAGGCGCCGTCACTGCAACGTGCAGGAGGCGAGCTACCTGAACCCCCCCTGCGCCGACGGGGGCTTCTCGCAGCGGAACCCCACAGGTTCCGGCATGCCACCGCTGTCCGACCTGCAGATGTCGGCAGCCGCCGACAGTCGGCTTGAGGGATCCCCCGTTGAGCACCAGATGGCCATGAAGTCTGCGACGCTGCCTTGTGCTTCGGATGCCAGGCCACCAGCCGCTTCCAGAACCATGGCCTCGCCCATCTCATGAACTTCATGCGGCGATTCATGCGCAAGCCGAAAATGGGCAAGGTTCTCCTACATATTGCGAAGACCTGGAGTCGAATCCAGGTGAAACCCAACGACAGGCTGCAAAGCGAGGAGCTGTTCCAGACGAGACACATGATCGCCTGGTTTTTTGGACACCGCGGCTCGGTGATTGATCGTCCGCGCGAGGAGGGGCGCCAGATCTCTTGGGCAGGTGTTCTACCTTTTCCTGGCGGCCGACGCGCCCTCGCCTTCGCAGCCCGTGGACATGGCCGCGAAGCTGGTGAACCAGGTCAGCCCATGCGCCACGGGCGGCACGGGCGGCATTCCCAGGATGCCCCTAGCACAAACGCGCACGCATTCGCTTCTTGGAGCACCTGGACCTCGACAGAGGGATCAGCATGGACGTCGAGGGCGAGGTCGCGCGCGCAGGGTGAGGACGAAGTGGGGGCAGCGAAGGCCGCGCGACATCCGGCGTATTTGCGGTGCCTGCCGTTCGGCGTATGGGTCCGCACAAACGAACACAAGGATGCCCGCTACGGCAAAACAATCGCGAAGTTCGATGACGGCATCGACGCAGTGGAAGCGGCGGGCCAAGTCTGTCATCAATCCGCGGACCTCGACGAGCCTTGTGGATTTCCGTAAACATGAGGCGGGGCGCGCCAGCGTGGTCATCTCTCACGTCGGTGTCCTGCCGTCCGCGGCCTGCCAGGGCTGGACCACGCGCCGCGGAGTCAGTGTCGACGCCTTGTGCAATGACGACGAGGACCTGGACGGCCCCTGGCTGCGTCTCCACGTTTTACGTTTTTCACCAGGGCCAGGAAGGTCGAGAACCTGCTGATGATGCGCGACCCTGGCTTCGATGTTCCTCTCCCGCGGGCCGCCCGCACATTCGGCGGCCCGCCCGCGGGCGTTAGTCCCGTTGTGAAGGGCGCGAGAATGCAGGAAACGAAGAGGTCGACGGGCACGTTGGGCGGCGCTCGCTTCACAGCTCATCGTTCGGGGCGCCAGGGCGACAGGCCGCTGGCTGCGCTGCTGAGCGACGGGCGAGTCGTTACGAATGCCGCCTGTTTGTTTTCATCGCCTTTCTCTCATTGTCGTCCTCTCCGTCCCCCCTCCGTTTCCCTGCTGCTGCCGCGCTTTTTGTTCCTCCCCTGTTCGTTATTCTCCTGCCTCTTGCTCCCGCCCCCTCTCTCTCCGAACCTGGGGTTCCCACTGCTTCCAGGGAGGATGGGTGGGGGGGGGAGGACCAGGAGGAGGAACAGTAGAAACATGGGAGGGTGCATGGCGAGAGAGGACAGAGGAGCCACAGGAGGACGAAGCAGCGGTGGAGGGCCAGGGTGAACAAACAATGCATCAAAGGTGCTGCGATACGCCCTTCCGTCCGCAAATCTCATGCGTCCATCAGGGTTTGGGTGGGTGGGAACGAAATGACCCCAACCGAGGTCTCGGTCTCGGCTCGTGGGCAAGTCGCAGCGAGGAGGGGCGACGATGTGTCTGTCCCCGTTTCGCGGCGGGGCGCGGGATAACGTCGCGATGCGGCAGGTTCGGCAGTGGCAGACGTGGCACTTGCACCTCCCAGGTGGGCGTTTTCAAAGGGTGGGTCATGGGCAACTCTTTGCGCTGAGATCACGAGGGCGTCCCAAGCGATTCGCTTGTTTGGGGAGGGCGGTGTGTATTTTTTCATTGCCGCATGACCAGCGCGATGTAGCAGGTGTGGCATGTTTGGGCCCCGATTGGGAACCACTAAGGTTGTACTTTGCGGGTCCGTTCGCGCTAAGGTTGCCAGGATGTGTTTTGCCCGCTTGGTACAGCGTCAGTCTCTACAGGCCGTCATAGACAAACAAATCACCACATAGCGGATGCACATATTGGGATCGCCGCGACAAGCAAGTTTGATGATTGTGCGTGGCGCACTGGCGAGAGCCACATCTTGGAATCGGGCCGCCCTCCATCCGTGTAGCTCGTGGGAGTTTTGAGCCATAGGGTAACACAGCGTCAGGAGGTCTCAGCGAAACGCCCGGCTCCGAACGGGACGTCTAGTGGACGTGCGGCCACTCAGAGTGAGGAATGATATACAGTCATCGTGCTACTACAAGGGGTTTTGAATAAGGACTGAAGGGCCGTTTTGGCCGCCGAGAGTCTTGGCCACGAACAGCTCCCCCAACACAGACTTCAGGAACGGCCCGAAAGCAAGAACCCATTTTGAGCCCCAAGTGGTCCTTTATTCCATCGTTTTGATTGTGGGGGCAGCAAGAGGAGGAAAGATGATGACAGAGGAAGGAAGGAGAGACTGGCGAGGTGCTGTCGATCACAGCGCGCCCCAAGATGGAGATCCCTATGGCGCTGCTCCACGCAATGACCCCGCAGCTCAGGAGCTCGTCGTCATCGTTGTCGCCGCCGTCACTGCAGCCGCTGTTGACGTCGTTGCCGTCGTCTTGGTGGTTGTCGTCGCCGCCGCCGTTGTCGTCTCCGTGTGGTGGTCGTCGTTGTCGTCGTCATGGTCATCGTCGTGGCCATCGTCGTGGTGGTTGAGGTCGTCGTCTCTACTGGCGCCGTGCGGCATTGCCCTCTTTCAGTGTCCCCGTCGTCGTTGTCGTCGTCGTCGTCGTCGCTGTCGTGGTCGTCGTCGTCGCGGTGGTGGTGGTTGTCGTCGATGTTGTTGTCCTCGCGTCTCCTCGGTCTGCTCTTTCGTCTCGTCGTTTCCTCCCCATCCTCCTACTCCGACTTCTCCGACTTGGATGATAATCGCCCCCCTTCCCCCCCCTTGAGTCGAGGGGGGGGGGATGGGCGTCTGCTGTTGGAATGGGTTCGGGGGGGATGGGCTCGTGTTGAGGAGCTAGGGTGATGGGACGGGGAATTTCCATCGCAAGGTCAGCCAACCCCTCCTCGAGCATTACCGCATCAGGAGCAGTCGTCCTCATCCTCGCCTTGGTCCTCATCGCCTCGTCCTCATCGTCATCCTCGTCGCCTCCTCCCATATTCGCCTGCTCCTCTGTGTCTCCTCCCACTGTCGGCATTCCTTCTACTCGTTCTCCAGGCCTCTTCCTCTCTCTGCTGCATGTCTCCTCCTGCTACTCGTCCTTCTCGTCCCCTCCTGCTCTTCCCATCCGTCCTCTCTGCTGCTTCTCATCCCAGTCGTCACTCTCGTCATTTTTTATTGCTGTTTCTTTCTACACGTGTCGTGGTTATCGTCGTCCCCCTCCTCCTGTCTACGCTGCCCCTCGTTCTTGCACACGGGCTACGTTTCGCACAGTACGACGGGTGTCGGGTGGAGGCCCTCCGCAAGTCGTGATTCGAACAATCCAAACTCCCAGCAGTCACACGGAAGGAGAGCGGGTCGTCTTCGACATCTGGCTTTTTTTTTGATGACGTCCCCGTTCGCGTTTTCAAGCAAGGTTTCTCACGTTAGACCTCCTCCCCGTGATTGTGAATCTAGCAGTGTGCCACGTAGTGTGGTTCAATAGCGGTGGTTGGTGATTGAACAGGGGGCTGGGGGACACGCAGGGTGGGACAGAGTCACGACCTCATCGACTGCGTGGAAGCAGCACGTGAGAAGTCTGGTGTCCCGCACATAGCCAATGCAGTGCGCAGTGTGCTGTGCGGTAGAGTCGTAGTAGTCGTAGTCGTAGTCGTAGTCGTAGTCGTAGGTCTAGATGTGGTTGTACATTTACTTGCATAGATACAGGTCGATCCTGGTTGACACCCTGGTCCTTGCTGTACTCCAGGGCCCTGTAATGTACACTCCCCAGAAGTCTCGTGGATGAACGGCGGCTTCCTCTCGAGATCGGAGTCTCGCCTGGAACTTCCTGCTGCGTCCAGAGATCAGTTGTTTTTCCAGCCCTGGCCACAGCACCGCACATGGTTCCCCAAAGGGTGTTGACAGGCAGGGGCCTCCTCTGCCGAGTGATTCGGAAGGTCCGCCGATGACTTCCCACGGTCCGCGCCAGTGCCGCCTCGTGGTCGCTCGCGGGCGCCTCGTGCTCCGTGGGGGTCCGTCGGAGCTTCGGGCGCGTTCACGCCCGGGCCGCCTCGTGGGCGCCCGTCGGCGACCTCTGCTCTCGGCGGGTCGTTTCCTTTTTGTTTGTTGTTTTTTTCCGGCCAAGCCAGGCAAATTCTGAGGACGTCTCAGGCGAAACCGTGCCCAAACCAGGCCAAACCAGGCAAGTTGTGAGGACGTCTCGGGCGAAACCGTGCCCAATCCAGGCCAAACAAGGCACACTGTCAGGCCAAACCAGGCAAGGCAAATTGTGAGGACGTCGCAAGGGTGTGGCCACCGTCGCGCCCGCGCCCCGCGCTCGGTGCGGGTCCGATGCTTCGCCGCGTGCGCGCCCGCGCCGCCGGCGAGGGGCGCTCGTGGGCGCGCGCCGTGCCCCGGGAGGTCCGCCGAGGCCGCGCCGCGCTCGCGCCCGTGCCGTGCCGTGGGCGGCGCCCGCGGGCGCCCCGCGCCTGGGGTGGGTCCGCCGAGGTCCCGCCACGCGCGCGCCTCTGCTGTCCCCTACAGAGGGGATTTTCGACGAAAAATAAAAGGGACCCCCCGAAATACCCCAGAAGGTCAAAACATCGTCCAAAAAGAGTCCCCGGACTGTTTTGGGGCTATCTTTCGACTATTTTTGGGGTATTGTTTCTGTTTCGAGCAGCGCCTCCAACGAGCAGCGCCCGATGGATCTGCGCAGAGGGCAGGGTCAGGCATCTCAGCAAGGCGCCCTGCGACGTCCCCGCTGCGAGCAGGAACCGCACGCGTGCAGCATCGGCACGGGCGGTCCTGCCTGGTCATGGGCGCCGAGGGGGTTCCACGCGATGGCCCCATTCTGAGAAAAACAGCCCGGCGTCCATCCGCGCCGCGGTGCCATTTGTCCATGCAGGTCAGGGGCCAACGCCTCGTTGTGGTTGGGGAGCGCCGCCCGTCCGCGCAGCTGCTGCATGCGGCCGGGGCTCTGGCCTTCCATCCTGAGCAAGCCTCGCCGAAAGCCCCACGTTGGACAGGAGCCGCCCACCATCCCCGTGACCTGTTGCAAGTGTTCAGGATGCAAGTGACCGGTGCCACGGCTGGAGCTCCATTCTGAAAAGGAGCCGCCCTCCATCCGAGCGGCGATTGCAGCATGTTTTGAAACAAATGTGCGCAGTGCTAATCGGTAGTGCGAACGCGACAGGATGCAAGGACACAGCCTTCCATCTTTGAAGTTGTCGCATGTGTTGAAGACACATGTGCTCGGCGTTACTGCGACAGCCCAAACTTTGAAAAGGAGCAGCCCTCCATTGAAGCATTCGCAGATATTTAAGACGACTCAGCGCCGCGTTACTGCGACCGCCCAATTTTGAAATGGAGCCACCCGCCATCTTTCAAGATGTCGCAGTGTTTTAAAACGAGCGCGCCCTGCGCCAAGGCGAATGCCCCATTTCGCTTGGCAGTTGATTTTCATTATTGTCGCAGTTGCAAATTGCTAAACACGATTTTGCTTAACGCTATGGCTAGAACTCCGTTTTGAAAAGGAACCGCCTTCTATCATATGATGTGCTGCAAAGTTTAAAGCGCATGCGCGCGGTGTTTAGGCGAACGCTCCATTCCCATAACGAGCACCCCTGCATCCTTGAAGATGCTGCAGCCTTCAAGCTTCGGGATCATAGTTGGCGTGGAGATCTCAAGCGAAACGCCCGGCCCGCCCTGCCGACACGTTTTGGGGGGTGCGGCAGACGTGCGTTACTGGTGAGGAAAAGGGATGGACGGATGGGTGATGGGAGGGTGGCCCCGACCGGTGGGTTAGGTGTGGGGGCACGTACAGTGCCGGTTTTGATACATGTTCCGCGCGCGGATCATGTATTAAAAATGCAGGGATTTGGTATTGAAAACAACGAGGAGTTCATGCATAAATGTAGTCATACATTAGTCATGTATTAAAAATCCTATTTTTTTGTTTAAAAAAAATCCTATGTATTAAGACTTGCCCTGTAGCTCTAACAACTTGCTAGGAGGGGCCACGATGTCCTGCAGCGCGAGCAGGTTCTACGCCATCTCTCTCCCAGGTCCGAGGGTCGACGGTCCTGGCCCTGGCGCCTCGGGGGAGAAGATGCCCATGCGTGCAGCTCGTGTTCCCGGCGCGTCTCTCTGTCAGTGGCTGCCTGTGAGTGTTCGTCTGACTCTACCCGGCTGCACCAGTCCCAGCAGTGCCAGCTCTGAGGCCAGGGGTGATGGACGCGCCCCCCCTGCCAAGCCTCATCCTTCACCCGTCTCCCCGTCCCTCGTCAGTCCTCCTCCTCCTCCTCCTCCTCCTCCTCCTCCTCCTCCTCCTCCTCCTATCCTCCTCCGATCTCCCTCCTCCTCCTCCTCCTTTTTCTCCTCCTCCTCCTCCTCCTCTTCCTTCTCCCTCCTCCCCGTCCCTCGTCCTCGTCCTTCCTCCTTCATCCTCCTCCTCCGCCTCCACGTCCTCGTTATTCCTCCATCCTCCTCTTCATCCTACTCCTCCTGCTCCTCCTCCTCCGCACTCCTCCACACTCCTCTGTGCAAGTACACTTATTGGTTTCTTCACGTGGTGCTGCACCCAGCGCCTCACCTGAGACATTATCAAAATGATACCGGAGAAAAACCCAATCAGGGCTACAAGGTTAGGGGGCTATAGGGCTATTGAGCTATAGGGCTATAGAGCTATAGGGCTATGGAGTTGTAGGGTTATAGGGCTATTTGGCTATTGGGCTATAGGGCACCCCCGGGCACCCCCGGGCACGCCCGGGCACCCGGGCACCCGGGCACCCCTGGGCACCCGGGCACCCGGGCGTGCAGCGAAAATCGGCGGCAAACCTAACCTAACCATATGAATCCGCTAGGACCCCTACAGAGGCAAGCTCTGATTTGGGAATCTGTTCTGAACGTAGACATTAAGCCAAAAGCGCCGAATAGGCAAACCGCCAGGGAGATCCCCACAATCTGGGCGTGAACGGGACCGTGCAAACCACCCTGGCAGCTCCCATTCGGGGCGCTGAAGCCAGCGCCTCGCCTGAGGCATCCTTACAATCTGCTCTTAGTGCGAATGAGTCTGCAGGGCCCAAGCGGCAAACCGCTTGACAAAATGGCCCCCGGGGCCCCGGGCTCCCGAGAGCGCCCAGAGATGGCCCCAAGCGGTGCCCGAGAGGCCCCAAGAAGCCCCCACGAGGTCCCCAATATGCCCCCAGACATCTCCCAAGAGACCCCCAAGACGCGCCAAGAGGCCCAGAGAAGCACCCAAGCGACCCCCAAAATGCCCCCAAGAGGCGCCCAAGAAATCACCGAGACGCACCAGAGGCTCTCCCTAGTGACACCCAAGACGCCCCAAGATGCCCCCCGGACTGCCGAGAGACGCCCAAGACACCCCAAGAGGACTCAAAGAAGCATAGAAAGAAACCCGAAGAGACTCCGAGAGGCATCCGAGAGGCTTCTGGCGTTTCTGCTCGCCCTCCCCCTCCTCCTCCCCCTCCTCCTCCTCCTCCTCCTTTCTCTCTTCGGTTTGCACGGCCACGTTCGCACCCAGATTGTGGGGACAAGCATTGTGTATGATTTTAGCCTTCTTGCCGAGGCCATCTTGGACGCTTTGACGACCCGCTGCCTGGCCCGTCCAGGTCCGGGGGTAGGGGGGCTAAACCCTTCCCGAAGGGAAGACGGGCATTGGAAGAGGAAGCGCTCTAAGCCGCTCGCGCTCAAATGGCTGGTGGGAGTGCGCGGCGAATGTGCTCATCTTAAGCGCCCGCCACCTCACTGGCGCGACGAACGCGTTCCATGCAGCCCGAGGGCGTCCTCCAAGGCCCGCAGACCAGCCGTCGACGGCGACCGGGCCAGCTCCGCGCGCAGGAAGGCGAGTTGCCGATCCAGCAAAGTGGGGCGGCGGCGCGGAAGGCAAAAGATGGTTTCGCCCAAACGGTCGCCAACGCGCATTTCTATGGAGAGCGCCGCGACCAGAGTTTCGCCATTGTTGCAAGTGACAAGATAGGCGCCGTGCGAATTGGTTGCACAGATGCCCCTGGGCTGTCATTGGGCATTGGATGGGCGCCCTCGAGAGTGCTTCGGCCTGGCAGACTGGGGCCCCGGTCGTCGCACATGCGCGGTGGGCCCTGCCGCCATCCGTGGAAGTTCGCCCGCCCGAAGCTGGCCGTGGGCGCGCCGAAGCGGCTCGCTCCGCAGATGGCGGCGCAGTTGCAGATTCTGGCGGGCGAGGAACGGTATCAAACACATTTTTCCGTCGTTGGGGGCGCTGCCCCGGGGCGGCTGGAAAGCTGATACTTTGGCGTGCCACCGGAAGGGTCTAATCTTTCCAGCCGCCCCGGGACAGGCGCCCCCGACAGCGAGACTGTTTATTTTACACCGTTCATCGCCCGCTCGAAATTCTTTACGCTTCGCGTATCCCCACCAGCCCATCTCAAAACAGCAACTCTTGCGAAGCATGCCGACAGTCGTGTTTTTCAGGCGTGTTTCCGCCTGCCCCCGCATATCTCCCCTGTTCCTCCTTCCTCCCGCCTCCTTGTACATCCTCCTTGTGGTGGGAGCGGGAGAAGGACGAGGCGGAGGAGGAGGGAGAGAAAGCGCTCCTCGTGGTTTGAGTCGTTTGGGGTTTCTCGTCCTGGTGTGAGTCGTTCGGGCAGCGGCCAGCGTCGGATTTCGCTCTGTCATAAGGTTTCGTGCCGTTCCAACCTGATGGGGGTCCCGCCAAACCGCGGCAGGCATCGGACTGCCGTGTGACATATTAGATTCCGTGCCCTCCCCACTCCACCAGCCTCGCTCACCAGTGCCTTTGCCGCTTCCAGATCGTCATTGGTATGCTGAAAGCTGTTTTTTCTAAAGGATGTTTTTCACAATCCAGATCCATGGGCCCTTATTTTTCCAGCCGCCCTTCGCCGCTGTGCAACAGTGTAGTTATTTGATTTGTAAGGGGGCACATGTGTCGGGATGATGCATTCCAACACGAGAGAGGGGTCACAGCAAGCAGTCTGCTTACTGTGGCCCCTCTCTCCCTCCGCATCCTCTTGATCCTCTTCCTCTTCCTTCCTCTCCGCCTGTCCTCGTCGCCCTTGCCTTCCTCGCGCTCTCTGCAGCTCCCCCTCGGCCCTCGCATTCCCTGCCTTGCCCGCTCGCTCGGCGCCTCCGCCGCGCGAAGCTCCTCCAAGGGGAGAGCAACAAAAACACCCCGCGCCCGGAGAGCGCAGCACCGCGGAGGGACCCGGAGGTGGCAGGCCCGGAATACGCTGCACCGTTTTTGCCCCCGGGCGGCAGGTGTCGGGCGCCCGTGGCGCCGAGGCCCGCGCCTGGCAGCTGTGCTTCTCAACTTTACAAATGATGCACGCCGTGCTGCAGTCAACCCGCATGGTAAGGATGGGCAACTCTTCCCAAGGGTACCCTTGCATTCCTGCCCCCTCCCCAGACCTTCAGAGAGCTATGTTTTAGCACTGGAGACCTAAAAACCTAAAAAACGAAACGAAACAGCCTAAAATCAAGACACATAATAGCTCTGGGATGAATTTTTAAACCGCATGCTATTTTTTAGCCCTCCTGGAAGGTCAGGGTCAGTCCACCCTCTGCCACTTCGGTTGGCCGCGCCCCGGTCGGGAAGCTTCGAAATGGGTTCCCAGGGCCCTTGCATCTTTCTCGCGCATCCTTGCATTACGGGTTGACTGCATGCGGTGTTTGATCAGGAACGCCATGGTCAAGGGAGGAAGAACCACCCAGACCAGACAATTGGCGTTCACTGAACGTCCCTGGGCGTATACAAAAAACAGCCCTGCCCTGTCTGATTCCTTCTTTGGGCGCCCTTTTACGAAACGACTTCGCGCGTCGGGGTGGTTGTTATGGGGGTGGATTGTTTGACTTCTATTCCTCCTCCTCCCCCGCGCGCGGCAGGATGGAGGACTTCCTGCCCCGGGAGGGCAGAATGTCCATCAAGGCCGCCCTCTTCTCGCCATCTTCGTCCTCGAGCCCTCCTCCTCCTTGCGTCAAGTCGGGCCTGTCCCTCTACAGGAGGGATATCCCAAACCAGTCAAAGCATTGTATGGGGACGATTTGTTTAAAGCATTTTTTTTTTTGTTTTTTTATTAGAATTCTTTCGTCCAAAATCCGCCTGTAGGAGAAAACGCCCGACCTAATCCTTGCGCTCCCCGCCCTGCTCCACGCGTGCCACCTCGTGGCGCCGCCGTCCAGGTCACCGACCACCTTGCCAGGCCGCGCGTTCCTCCTGGGAATCCCGCCTGCCTTCGGGCATCGGGGAGCCGACTCCGGCGCTCCGGCGCCACCGCCGTGCTCTTTCTAAGGCGTTCCTCCGGGACGAGTGTCGGCGCTCCGCTCCGCTCCGCTCCCTGCTCCTCGCCTCCCCCCCCTTAACGCTCGCGCGCCCTCTCCGCGCGCTGGGCCACTGCGGCCATCCATGGCGCCTCTTCTCCCCTTCGTGTGCCTCGCGGAACTCCTCCGCAGGGCTGCGTTCGACTCCTCCGACTCGATCCCGCTCGATTTCGATCGTTTCCGGATCTGGATTCCCATTTCGGATTCCCATTTGCTTTCGGCTTCTCAACTTCGTCGAGTCGAATTCTCCCGACCTGGCTGCCGATGTCCGCCGATGCGGTACATTTCGATCGCCGATCTGACTCATCGATTGGATTCTGGGCTCTCCTGCCCCCGGGCTGCCCCTGGCGCCGCCGCTTGTTTGTCCAGGAGGTCTTTCGTCTGGCCCAGGGACCAGCGAGACAGTGTCCGCGGCGAAGGTCCGTCCTGGGGGAAGGGGTGCTCGGCCACGCTCAGAGGGGGGTCGGGGGAGGGGAGAGGGCTTCTCAGAAGCACCCCTTCTTTTTGGAGGGCGCGGGCCTTATCTATAGATGTAAGGCCAGCGCCTTCTAAGAAGCAGCCTCCTTCTAAGAAGCCATCCCCCCTCCCTCCACCCCCTTGTGCGCACCGCCAAGGTGCGGAGCTCTGGCGCGTCGGGCCGCGCAGCAAACGTCACGAAGGTTGGATGCCCGGGTTGCGTCCGTGCTTTTCGTTGGTCGCCTTGGCGCTATCTGGCTGGGCTCGCCACGTCTATCTTGTTTTAAGTCGGGCCTGTCCCTCTACAGGAGGAATATTCCAAATCAGTAGTACTGGTCTGGGTCCAAAAATCCCCCTTGCGGGGGAAGCGCCCGACTCAAGTCTTGTTGCAGAGGTGCCTTTTGAAGAGCTGCGCGCCTTGTCGTCGCTGACCCGAGAACGGCTCTGAATCCTACCAGCTCTCTGGCCGCGGGCGGTTCGTAGTCTCAGCTCTGCTTGCGCAACCCATTCTTCCCCTTCATCGCGGGCTTCCCCCTCCCCCATACCCCCCTTAACAAAAAGGCCTCGCCGCACTCCTTGCATACCTTTGCGTCATACACCCTGCGCCAACCGGCAAAACGACCCTGCAAGCAGACCCCTGCAAACCATTGCAGTGCCATGTAAGACCCTTTGGAAGACCCTGTTCCTCTCCCCAGTCCTTGCCCTTGCCGTGGCCCTCCGCGCCTCCCTCGTCTCGTCGTCAGCCTCGTCCACGTCGTTCTCCGCCTCTCCTCCTTCGCTCCCTGCCCTTCTGCTCAGGCTGGTGCCAGCCTCGCTTTGACATGACATCTCGCCGCGACGACTGCCCGAAGACTCGTTCTGGTATAGCCAGGACCCCATGTAAGGGGACCCGGTGAGTAGCTGGTCCCACTGAATCCACAGTTCTCATGGCGCCAACATCGCAGAACGGATTTCGTTCGGGGAGTGTCCTGGAGAATTTCGTTCCGGTTTTCGAGGTGAATTTCGTGCGGATTCTTTGGGGCCAGGAATGAAGACTAAACAACAATCCACGCGAAACTCACTTCGTTTTTCACCCGCCGTTTCGGGGTTTTGCATTGGCAGAGCTCCACGCAGAAATCCGCTGCAGCACGTCTGCAATGTCGGTGCGGTGACAGGTCTGCCAACGCCCGGATCGTGCCTGGCTGGGCTGGTGGGCATGTTTTTTTTTGTCGCGGCCGCAAGCGAAAGCGCAGGAGGCGTCCGAAAAGGTCGAGCGGGCTACGCGTCTCTGCTGGTGGGCATGCGCGAAGCGCCAAGGGAGGGCGGCACCTCGCCGCAGGTCGCTGCCCCATGGCGCCCCGGGGGGTGCCTTGCAGGGCCCGCAGGCGGCCCGCAGGCGGCCCGCAGGCGCCGCGGCCGTGCCGAACAGCTTGCCCCGTCGGGACTTCCTTCGAGGGAGGAAAAGCCACCCAGACTTACCAGCCTCGAACGTATCCCTATCCCTAAGATTGACACGCCAAAAGGCGATGACAATCTTAGGGATTCGCCCTCAAATAATGAGGGAATCCCTAAGATTGGCATCGTGATGAGGAGGTGCCCAGCATGGGGATAGGGATATGTTCCAGGCTGGTGACAGACCAGACAGCACCAGCTGCGTGTGCACTGCTTACCGCGGCGCCTCTCTCCCTCCGCCCCCTCTTGAGCCCCGTCCCCTTCCCCTTCCTCGCCGCTCGTCCTCGTCGCCCTCGCCTGCCTCGCGCTCTCCGCAGCTCCCCCCCTGTCCTCGAATTTCCTGTCCTGTCCGCTCGCTCAGCGGCTCCGCCGCGTGACGCTCCTTCAAGGGAGGGAAAAACCACCCGGACCGGACAATTGGCTTTTACTAAACGGCCTCGGGCGTTTACTGAACAGCCCTGCCCTGTTCGATTCCTTCTTTGGGCGCGTTTACGAGGCGACTTCGCGTGTCGGGGTGGTTATTATGGGGGTGTTTCATGTTGACTCCTATTCCTTCCTATAGAGTATGTTTTGACTGCTCTTATTTTTCTATCAGAATCCGCCTGTAGGGTGGCATGCCGGCCCTAATGATAGTTGTGCGACCTCTGGAGGTCTTAGGGTTCTGGGCCGATGTTGCTCAAGATCGCTCCAGAAGAACAGCGAACCGCATGAACCTAGACTTTCGAAGCTGCGCTGGATATCTGCCACGCGCAGAGGGAGGCATAGGGGTAGAGGGGAGGACTTCTCAGACGCTCCCCTGCTTCCTAGAAGGCGCAGGCCTTGTGTATAGGTGTAAGGCCAGCGCCTTCGAAGAAGCGGCGTCCTTCCAAGAAGCCTTACATATATTGCACCACATAGATTGCACAATAGTGATCGCACAACATAGATTCCACCAAATATATGGCACCGCGTAGACTCTCCTCCCCCCCGGGGTGAAATACCCACCACGAACCGATCCAAAATGTATAGGATTCTGACCCGATGTCTATCCGACCTGTGAATTCATATGCTCCCAGCCAAACCGGTTCCGGCTCCCCCCGCCATCCTCTGCAAAACATTATATGCGCGCGCACTCGTTTATCAAAAATCATAAATGTTCAAGAACCCCTTGCAACAACGGGACGAAGTGCACACGCGCGCGTCGTCGCGCGCGCATGCCGAAATTCTTCAAAATCTTTTGGTTTCGAAAGGATTTCAAAATCAAGCGTCCAAAACAACATACAAAAACGCAGGGTTTCGCAGCACGCATTTTTAAAAAGCATGCGCGCGCGCTCTTGCGAATTCTTAAGAAACCATAGTTTTTGTTTTACGTTTTCCGAAAATGCTACCAAACGGGCTTCGCGCGCGCGCATGTCGAAATCGTTTGAACGCCCTTGCGCGGGGGGCTCGCATGGTTCCTGGTTGGCCGCCAGTCGCCTGGGAGAGGGGGTGTATGTTAATAGGGAGCACGGATCAACCCCTCCCCCGAGCAGGGGAAGGAGGGGTTTAGGCAGAGAGAAGCCAACAGTTCCTTACACCGCCTACGCCCAGAGGGCAGGTTGGACTGGTAAGTCCAGCAGGGCCCCTGGAACGAGCACCTACTCCGGGCCGGGAGGCTCTCCGCTCAATGGCGCTTCGCCCAGCCGCCCTCCCGCGAAGCCACGCGTGGAGGGCCTGGTCCTCGCGGGCGTCGCGGACGGCCTCGCCCGCCTGTCCGTAGGCAGGCCCGCAGGATGCTCCGCATTGCTGGTTTGCTTGGCTGCTTGTTTGCTTTATTGGGAGAAGGGAGGGGGCCCCCCCCCCCTTGGCAGGCTGGCGGCTTCGACGTGCGCGACGGCGCGATCCACCTGCCCGACGTCCATCTGGACAACCTCAACCTGCCAGTGGGCACCGAGACGGACGCTCCGTCCGACTTGCCCCCGCCCTGGTCATCGTCGTCGGCGTCGGCGTCGGTCGTCGGTTGTCGGTCGTCATCGTCGTCGTCGTCGTTCATTCGTTCGTTCGTTGTGCGTCGTCGGTCGTCCGTCGTCGGTTGTCGTCGGTGATGTCGTCGTCGACGTCCGCCGTCGTCTGGTCAGTTGTCGTCGATCCAGTCGTAGTTGTTGTTGTATTGCTCGCGTCTCCGTCGTCGTCGTGGCCGTCGTCGCCATCGTTTTGTCGTCGTCGTCGTCGTTCCTGTCCTCCTGACCATGCTCTTTGACGTGCGGTTGGGTCTTCACGCGCCTTGCCGTGTGCGGCCGTTCTTCTCTCGCCTTGAGCTTTCCCCCGCGGCCGTCCTCTTCGTCGTCCTTAATCGCATCCTCCGAGTCGCTCTGTTCGAACCAGATCTGCTCTTGCCTTGCCTTGAGATGTTCCGACCTACTTTAGCTTTGACCACCATAAAGAATTCCTGGCACCACGAAAGTGCCGAATTTGGAGAGTTTTCACATGTCGGGCCTTGGGAGGCACTCGTTCGACACCGTTTCGACACTGCTTCGGCACTATTTCGACACTTTTCTGGGTGCTCGAAATTATTTCCAGGGCTTCGCGCGGCCCATTCTTATACCTGCGGCGCTCTATCGGGCCATCCTGTGCTGCTCCTTTGACCTCCCGACTCGTGGCTCCACTCGCTTCACGGCGTCGGGATCCAGAGCTCGCGCAGGCGAGGTGCTTCAGTGCTGCTGCCTGGCGCGGATCCTGCGGCTGCAGTTGGCGCGCTGAGTGCGCCAGGGGCGGGTGGCGCACGGGGTTGGTACCGCAGGGGAGTATTTTCCCAGCAGGGAGGTGGGAGGAGGGAGGAGGGAGGAGGAGCAGGAGCGTCCTGGCTCCGCCTTCTCTGTCCGAACGAGATGCTGGTGTCCGTCGCCAGAGTATCCGTGGGTCCTTGCACATAAACAGCCCCCTCCGTCGTTCGGGCTATACTGGTCGGCTCGGTGAAGCCGCGCCACCGATAGCGCGGGCGGGCGTCTTGCTATGGGTTTGCTAACCCGTAGTATGTACCTCGCGCGCGTGGCGGGCTGGACGTCTACAAGCGTTGCGGCGGGGAGACACAACAGACAGAGCAAAGAGAACAAGACAGCTGTCCAACAGGAGCTTTCACAGCCCTGCGTTCCCAATGGAGCCGGCGTATACTCTGATCGAGGAGAACGTTCATTGCGACCCCTTGACCGTCCTACCTCTCTTTGGATGGGTCTGGCTTGAGGCCTGTTCTCCTCTTCAGGGCTTCCATAACAGGACTCGACGCCCAATGGCCTCTCGTTTTTGCGACAACACGGCCGCGCAGTGCCCGCAATGCAGCCCCTCAGCGAGCCCGCAGAGCCAGGACACCATCGAGATCAGAGCGACCCTGGACGAGTTCACGGTAGAGCTGGAGGACTCCTCAGGCGGCCAGGGATCTCGAAACAGGGGAGGAGGTTGGGCATGGAAACCAAACGGCGTCCTCCTCTCGCTCCATCCTTTTCTACAAGCGAAGCGTCTGCCCTTCGTTGTGTGTGTGTATGTGTGAGTGTGCGTGCGTGCGCTCAGCTCAGTCCTCCCCCGGAGTTTTCCGTGCGCTCGAGCACCTTTTCCCCCCCCCCGGGTCGCTCACCATCTCGCCCCCTTCTCTCGGCGGCCCAGAAAACGGCGGGGGGGGTCCTGGGTCATGTCAACGGCGCGGGGCTTCTGGGCGAGAGTGCAGGGCACGGGGTGCTCGGCGGGGGGCTTGGGGCGAGAAATTGCAGCGTGCGGGGTGCCAAGAAAAGCGGTCCCAGGTAGGGTTGGGATGTCGGACCAGGTCGACGGCGGGGCAGGTTCGGGGGATAAATGCGAGGGTTGGGGTGGAGATGTCGGCGCAGGTCGACGGGGGGGCGGTTTGGGGCGAGAGAGTGTAGGGTGGGGTTCCAAGAACAGAGGTCCCAGGGCAGAGTGGAGACGTCGGACCAGATCGACAGCGGGGCTGTTTCGGGCGAGAAATGATATCGCGCGAGGTCCCAACACACAGAGGTTCCAGGGTAGGGTAGGAATGTCGGACCAGGTCGACGGCGGGAGGTGCTTGGGCGGGAAATTGCAGGGTGCGCGGTCCCAAGAACAGACGTGATGCCATTGCCAGGTGGACGCCAAGTGGGCGGCAGGATTGGTTTCGGCCAGCCCTCCCCCCCCAGTGCGCTCCGGGCACTGCCGCCGTGCGAACGGCGGGGTTGAGGCGTTACATCACACCCTGCCCCGCCGAAAATAAAGAAACGCGCTCCAGTTTTTCCCGTAACCATGTCGGGCGGCCAAATGCTGGCCTGGCGGTGGGGCACATCTGTTTGTTCGCCCAGGGGCAGGGCGTGGAGGGCGACCGGTCTGGCTGCCAGGCATGTCCGTTGCCGTGCCTACGATGCATTCTGTGTGTCGACCTGTTCGGAACTATTCGACGTCTGAGCGTCCCTTCTTCCTCTCGGCCGTCCCCCCCCCTCTTTGCTCGCCGGGCGGTTCGCTAGTTAGTGCCCCTATCGAGCTTCTCGCTGGAGCGGAGTTCGCCGCCTCGCCGCTGACGGAAAAAGTGTGTCGACTTGTTCGGGTACCGCCCAACAGGC